GGAGGAGGAGGAGGAGGAGGAGGAAGAGAGGAGGAGGAGGAAGAGGAGGAGGAGGAGGAGGAGGAAGAGGAGGAGGAGGAGGAGGAAGAGGAGGAGGAGGAGGAGGAAGAGGAGGAGGAGGAAGAGAGAGGGACTGGCAGCTGCACATCTAAAATCCACTATGGGCAACTCTATCTGAAAAGCAAAAACACATTGTGCAGATGCTTCAATCTCTGTTATTCAAGAATATAAAATCCTAACTTGGCAATATTTATTTTTTCTTCAATCTAACCATTTCATAATATTCACTTGAAAAAATAATTATTTCAAACCCTGGATAAAGAAAGGTGGGTTGAAACACTAACTAGTTATTTGTGCTGTCCGGCAGGGGTCTAGTTGCCCTAGATTAACACATAGAAATGTAGATTATCTAAACAACTCAAGGAGAAAAAGAAATCCTTGTGATGAGAAGCCCCTTCCCCACCTTTTTCATACCCTTGCCTGTGTTCTTGCTCACCAGCCTCTCTGGTATTAACCCTAAACTGCCAAGTCGGAAGGGGAATCTCTGCAGCGAAAGGACTTATTGATTGATTTTGGATGCTGGTCAGAAAGAGATGCAGCTCTGGGACAGGTTTCCTCAGCTCTCAGCAGCTCAGCTCTAAACAAGGTGAATGGGGGATGTGGCAATCAATCAGTTGGTAAAAAGCTTGCTTTACAAACATAAAGACGTGAGTTTGATCTCCAGAACCCAACTAAAAAGCTGGACACGGTGGCACGTACCATGTGCTGTCCCTTGTGCTGTGACCCAGAATAAACCTGTTCTCCCTTAAATTGCTCCTGTTGGACTATTTTTTTTATTGTATCAACAAGAAAAAAACCTGAGGAAGTACGCTATAAAAGGAGACTTGGGTGCTGGGAAAACAGCACAGAAGCAGAGTTCTTGCCCAAGTGTGCAAGGCCCTGAGTTCAACCCCATGCTCTGCAATCAATCAACCAATCAAAAATATAAAGTATAAATAGAAAGAAGGGCCAGACACAATTAAAAATGGCAATAGTTTTTAATTTTTAAAATAGATTTATTTTTGGTTTGTATCTGAGTGCCTTGCCTGCATATGATGTGTGCCAGGCGCATGCCTATTGTCCGTGGAGGCTAGAAGAAGACATCAGGTTGTGAGCCACCATATGGGTGCTGAGCACTAAACTGAATCCTTCGCAAGGGCAACAAGCGCTCTTAACCACTGAGCCACTTCCCTAGCCCCACCAATGGTTTTGATATAAGCCATGCGCCTTTGTTTTAACAAAAGCTAAGGAGTCTACTCTAGATGAATCATTTTCACTGCCTGGAACTCTTTCAGAAGCCCCAAAGCTAAAAATTTTATGTTAATCTACGATTAATTATTTTTGAAGTTACATCATTTGGAGTATATTTTCAAGTGACTCAAATATAAACAAGCCCAGTGTAATGTTTCTGATCTACAGCTATGCTCACAAGCTATGCTCCAACTAAAGGGAAGGACGAGGAGCAATGGTGGCACCAAGCAGAGGGTACTGGGCAGGCGAGAACTTCTTGTCCCTTATTTGTTCTGTCTCCTCTCTCTCCTATACTTTGCACAAGAGGCAGTTGCCTGTCTTCAAAGATTGGCATATTTTCACCTTTTCTTGCCTGGAGAACTTGCTTCAACAAAATAACATGCTAAGTGCTTGACTATCAACTGAAGTAGTCATCTAACTTTAATTTTTATATGTTTATTTAATGTTATGGGTATATGGTGGTTTACATGAGAGTGGCCTCCACAGGCCATTTGATTACTTCCTTAGTCCCCATTTGGTGGAACTGTTGGGGGAAGATTGGAGGTTTGGTTTTGTTGGAGGAGGCGGGCTTTGAAGTATGACGTAGTCATTTCAAACTAGTTCTCTCTACCTTGTGCTTGTGGGTTGAGATGAGAGCTATCAGCTGCCCCTGCTCTGATACCTGTTCTGCCATCACAGACGCCAGCCCTCTGGAACTGGAAGCCCAGTTAAATACCTTCTTCTGTAAGCTGTCTTGTCCATGATAGTTTTTAACAACAGGATGTTTTGTCTGCAAGTTGGAAAACAGCCTGGGAACATCAGACACTGTTTCAAAAAGAAAAAAAAAGAAGAAGAGAATAGGGCACAACAGTTTATTGACTAAGATAAGAGAGTTGCAGAGATCGCTCAGCAGTTCAGAGCAGCAGGTGGTCTCCCATGGACACTCATCCTATCAGTGCCTGGTGCCTGCAGAAGCCAGAAGGGGGCATTGGACCCCTTGACACAGGAATTAGCCAGTTGTCAGCTGTCATCTTGAGACAGGCATTAGCCAGCTGTGAGCTGTCATGGAAGTCCTGGCAATTGAACTTGGCTCCTCTGGAAGAACAGGTTGGCCTCCAATTTGCTATCTCACTCTGCAGCTGAGGAATGACCTGGGACTTCTTCTTCTGTTGCTTCCATCTCCCAAGTGCTTGGATTGCAGGTCTCTGCCACCACAGCCAGTCTGCATTCCTGGGGATCAATCCCAGGGGTTCTTGTATGCTTGGTAAAAGTTTGCTAGCTGAACTAAATCCCCAGGCCCACAAACCTGTTTCTTTCCTGACCTTAAAATCTGCTTCCCTCTGTTACTCCCCATATGAGCTACTAGAAAGCACAAAGGCCCCATGTTTCTTTGGTCTGAGCACCATGTCAGGGTCAGCAAGTGACTGTCTGTGCTTTAGCTGTGACTGTTTGGTTCGATGCTCACATACTGAAGAAACAACCAGAACCACACTCACATCAGCTAGGGAAGGATGGACCCTTTCCTATAGACTGTACCCTCTAATGCCAGCCCCCCCCCTTGATGGTCACTTCATTATTTTTAATAGGTAACACAAAATCTTACAGGAGTCTTACCCAGGGTTTGGATATGATCTATGAGGTCTTATTTAGTCCTTCTAGCCTATGATTTCCCATGACCCTTTCTGATTGTCTGTTTATAGGCACCCTACATTTTTGCTGTACACAGGAATGCTAGAAACCTCCCTTTCCTTGGCATGCTTTCCTGAAAGACTTGTAACGCTTTGCACACACGTTCTTGTTTATCAGCTAATACACACGGAGGAGAATGACATGCAAATCCCCCTTCTTTTTCCATCCTGTCGGCTTGTGATTGTCAGTGGGTTCATGCCTGTGCAGAGACATGATTTGGAGGATAGCAAGGACAGAAGGATAGGACACAATCTGGGGATAGGAAGATTTGGAGGATAGCAAGGACAGAAGGACAGGACACAATCTGGGGATAGGAAGATATGAGTAAAAGGTTCAGCTGGTGGCAGGTTGGTCCCAACACCGTCATTCCATATGCACACTTAGAAAAACCCTCCGTCTTTTGTTTTGTGTAATTATCATTTAGTATACCCAGTAGGGTTTTCAAACCTTTTATATCTCCGTGGATTTATTTTATTTCAGAGTGAACGTTACTTTATGACTCAATCACCATTAATGTGACTTATTTATGATGTTAGGAAGGAGTAGGGGCAGAAGGCATTCTGATAAGGGGAGACCGGCTAGCCTGATGCTTCTGCCCCAGAAGAAGGGGAGACTGAACTGTGCTCCATTGTTATAGCGCTGAAATCCTGGCAACCCAGCTGTTTCTTTCCTGACCATACAATCAGCTTCGAGATTGCATGCTCCAGATATTCTACCAGATGTGAGTGTTCAAGGCCTGCGCAAGCAATACCAGAGCGCTCGGGGTGATAGAACTGAAAGTAATTTTGAATTCAGAAGGTGTCAGCGTCAAGGACTGTGAGGAATGACGAGCCACCTCAGACTAATGTTGCCGCCCTTACACGACAGTTGTTGAAGGAGACCAGTTTAGTGCCTGAGCCAGCTTCTCAACCGAGCAAGATTCGGGGAAGCCAGAAGGGCAGCCTAAAATTCACCAGAGTGCGCGGCCCAGCCTGGCGAGACGCCCACCTGGAGCGTGTCCGCTGCACGAATTCAGGACCGCTGGGCGGACAGCTCCCCGGAGCCGGGCGCGGCTGCGCAAGGGGCGGGCCAGCGCGCACGGACCACGAGGACCCGCCTCCCTCCCCACGCCCACGGGAGGCCAGGAGCCAGTGCGAGGTGCTCCCCGGGGCCGACGGGCCGATCGCCACGCCCCCAAGGAGGCGGAGCGTCCGACTATCCCCGCCCCCTCGAGGCCCGCGGTTTCCATTGGCCAGCGGTTGGAGGTGCTGGAGGCGGGCCCGGTCCACGGCTCGCGCCCGGGAAGGTCGGCGGCGCAACGCGGCTGTCGTGGGGAGGGCGCACGGGGACGCGACGGTGCCGGGCGCGGCGGAGACGCAGCGGGCGGGGGCGGCGGCGGCGGTGGTGGCAGCGGTGGTGGCGGCGGCGGCGCCGGGCAGTGGCTGAGTCTCCGCCGCGGCCGCAGCTCGCGGTGCCCGAGCTCTAAGGCGCATCCCGGGCTCGCGGCCCGAGCGGCCAAGACGGCGGGCCGGCCGGGCGCGGGGCGGCGCGCGCTGTGCTGCGGGCTGCGCTGGTGGGGAGCCGCGGGCCGCGGCGGGGGTCCCGGGCCCGGCGTGTGCGGCTGGGAGGCGCTCTGGGGTGTGGGCGCGCGGGCGGCGGCCGGGGCCATGGCCGAGGGCGGCGGGGGCGCGCGGAGGAGAGCTCCGGCGCTGCTGGAGGCAGCCCGCGCACGGTACGAGAGCCTGCACATCTCCGACGACGTGTTCGGCGAGTCGGGCCCGGACAGCGGCGGGAACCCCTTCTACAGCACCTCCGCAGCCTCGCACTCCTCCTCGGCCGCCTCCTCGGACGATGAGCGCGAGCGCCCCGCTCCTCCGGGGACCGCCCCGCCACCCCAAGCCGTGGATCCGTTGGAGCTGGAAGAGGATGAGGCCGGTGGAGGCTGGAGTGCCGCGCTGCGGGATCGCCCGCCCCCGCGCTTCGAGGACACCGGTGGTGAGGATCGACCGGGGACACTGGGATGCAGGGGTGCAGGGCGCGGCCTGAAGGCTGGAGTAAGAGCCGGGCGGGCGCCAGACACTCCCGACCCACACCTGTGATTTTTCTGGAAGCAGATGGTTTGGGAGCAGGGATTTAAACAGGAGATGGCCCTCCTGCCCAGGGGGGTGGTCTCAGGTTTCTTGTGGGTGGGGACCACGCGAGCACTTTGCCAGAGGCTTTCTGTCATCTAGCAGAGTCACACCTGTGGGGTCAGTAAAGTATGGGCTTCCTGACACTGCCGAGGCAGGGTCATTTGCAGTCCGCAGGACCTAGGTGCCAGGGGTGAGGCCGGTCGCAGCTGAAGCGCAGTGAGAGCCCAGTGCGAAGCTACCCCAGCATCTTCACTGGGCTCTGTTTTCATGAGAAACTTCCTCTGGTGCCAGTCGATCTCTCCCTGAGAGGAGCGAAGGGTGATTCCTCTGCGTTAGTGCGCGTGCTCGTCGTTCGATTACTTTTAAGGTGTATAGACCGGACCCAGGTTATCTGGAGATGTCTGGAGTTGAGCTCAGTGACTGCCAGTCCGGGTCCTCAAGCTGCTCTTGGCTTTTGCAGAGTCGAATTCTAAAACATCGCTGCTTTACAGCAGCTCAGCCCTCTGCTTTCGGAGGAAGTGGAGGTTGCATTCTAGTTTGTGTCGTCCCCCCTTCTCCCTCCCGTTCAGACTCCATGGCCTCCAGGTAGGCGGATGTTAGGCCAAGTGTGGATAGGCACCCAGGAATGCCTTTTGCATGATCCCCCCTCCCACACACTTTGGATTAACCCGGAGTAGTGTACACTTAGTGTGACACTCTAATTATTGTCCAGCCCAGCTGGAATGCAGGTGGACAGGAGGCAGGGCCCAGGGACTGGACCTGGAAACCTTGCTGCAGGGAACTGAAGATGGGAACGGTCGACCCGGGCTGCGGTGTGGGTGGGCAAAATTGCAGCTGGACTGGATGGAGGTTTACCATCGCCGTGCAAAGCTCTAAGTGGGTATATTTGAAAGCGGGGCCCATTTGTCTGTGACTAGCCGCACTCTAAATCACGCTTCTATCCTAGCCTGCATTTTCCAGTGTGCCATTAGGAGCCTTCTGCCCTGGGCAGCTGTTTTCCATACTGACTCTGGGGACTGTACCAGCCCAGTGTCCTGGTTTGCCAGTCTTTATGCTGTGAGCCGGTGTGATCCCATGCTGTAGCACTTAAGACAGAAGTCTACAGAGGAAGACTCAGAAGCTCGTAGGTCTCAGGTCAAAATAATGACATGGCACTGGGTTAGGCCTAGTTTAAGAATGATGAAGGTTCTGGAGTTGAGAAGTGTAAACACACCAAAGTGACTATTTACACAGTAGCTTATGTCTTAGTAATCTGTAAGTTAAGATTCGAAAGCAGAGTCCTTTTGTCTGTCTACTGCACTGTCCCCATCGGAAGACCAGTGTTACCTGCCACTGGAATTAGATTCATATCCTGCACCTGAGCCTGAGTCACTGAGGTACCACAGGCAAAGGCGTTAGCGACTGTTTGCTGGTGTTTGTGGTTAGTGTTGTTTTTCTACTCTAGGAGTCGTCCTGTCTTTTAAACTGAGGTCTACTTTAGAATTTTCTCTTTGGGCTATCGTCTCCTTAAGGGAAACATGGGAAAACTGATGGCTTGTACAGCATGCAGAGTATGATTTATCAGGGCTTCAAACAGATGCCGGTTTCCCGGGTGGTCCGAGCAGATGCTGGGGCGCAGAAGCATGGAGAGAGACGGATGTGTTTATTAAGAGGCCAGTTGCTGCAGAGCTCAGCCAAGAGGTTGAGCTCCTGGCCCACAGCATCAGGGACACTCCAACAATTGCTCTACACCGCCAGGGCTGCTGCCTGCATCTCCCTCCCTTCTGTGCCCTCCAGTTTCTTAACAGATAAACTGGGTGGGGAGGGGAGAGAGGAAGAGAGTGGCACTTTGATCTGTCACCAGGTTCCATAGTGGAACATTTGCAATTGCTATGGCTGCTGCAGTCCAGAGAGGCCTGCACAGGACTCTAGGTTAATACGGGACTTACTGACTTGCCCCATCGTAAACAATTGTGTCTGTCCATGAGTGTAAGAGAGTGTGTGGGAAGGTGTGCATTGCCTTTGCCGGCTGAGTGGGGGAGAGTTTTCTTGGGGAGAATGCACCTGTTTGCTCTCTCAGCACCTGTGATGACTTGGAGACATTTGCTGACCCTTTGGGCAGGAAAGCAGGGCACAATTGGGCCCATTCTGCATTGAGTTGCTGTCAGAGATCTGTGGCTCCATGGAGATTGTGCACACAGTAGAGAGACGTTGGTGCTAAACTGAGAAAAGGGGAGGAGAGAGACCCGTGGTTGCTGGTGAAAATCCCGGCCCTTCAGGTTGTTCACTCCTATTTTCCATGGCTTCAGCTTGCTGGATGGAGCATGCCTGGGGAGGCACAGCCACCAGTGGCAGGGGAGCGGCTCTTCCAACAACCCTCTCGGGCTCTGCTCTGAGGTGTGGGTTCCCTTGGGAAGACTTAAATGTACACACTGCTGGGAGGCTGGTTGACACGCTTTAACCCTTGATGGGAGATTCTTCCTAGGAACTGAACTGCTTTCTGGGAGCACAGATTTGCTGCTGGAACCCCTAAAATAGCCCTGCAAACTGTCAGCCCCGTGTCTTTCCGTTGTGCACATCCCCAGCCCTGTGCCAGGACTCCTGGGAGCAGTGTGAAGTTCAGGCAGGCTGTGTCCAGGGCCTCTGACCTTCACGTTTCCTCCGCTACTGACAGGCCTTGGATCTCTTCTTGGAGGAGGCCGAGGAGCAGGCGGCACCGCAGTCTCGGATCTCCTCTTCTATCTTTGGTAGATTTTTGTGGCGACTATCTGTGGTTGGGCTCCTCGAAGAGGAGTTCACAGACAAGTCCCCTCCCATCCATGATACCCTGCCAACAGTTGCCTGAGACTCACTCCAGTAGGAGCCTGACCTTGGGAAGATGAGAGGAAGGTGTGGGGTTGGAAAGAAACATTGTTGAATTTAGAATTTACTGCTAGCTTATTTTATAGTTATTATTGTCACCGTTGTTATTTTAGAGACAGGTTTCTCTGTGTAGCAGTTCTGGTTGTCCTGGACCCTAATTTGTAAATCAGGCTAGTCTCGAACTCACAGAGATGCGCCTCTCTCTGCCTCCCTCCCGGGTGCTGGGTGGGATTAAACCACACCTGGTTTACTGCTGGTTTATTGATACATCTTTTATTTTTAACTCTTTTAACAATTATTTGTTATGTATATTCTCTGAGAGTTTCATACATGCATGCAATGTATTTTGGTCATATTCATATTGTTCCCACCTCCAGCTCTTCCTAGACCCTCTCCCCCACATCTGCCTTCCAACTTCTCTCTCTCTTTTTAACCTACTGAGTCTAACTTATGCTACCTGTATATTGCAGGGATGTGGGGCTGTCCACTGGAGCATGGTCAGCCTAGCAGATACCACAGTCCTAAAGAAAACTCTCTCCCTAGCTGGCATCAACTCCCAGTGGCTCCATAGCTAGGGATGGGGCTGCTGTGCCCCAGCCCTCAGCCATCCTGGAATGTAGACAGCCTTGATCTTGTCCAGAAAACACTGCCCTACCTCAGTCCTCCCTAACCTCTGGCTCTTACGTTTTCCCACCCCCTCTTCTGCGATGTTTTCCGAGCCTTTCTGGCAGGGGTGTGATGCAAATGTCTGGTTTATGGCCAAGCACTCCTTAGGCCTTCTTTGAACGCTCACCGTTTGTGAATTTCTAATAACACGGTGATCTAGTAAAACCTTTCAACTAATGAGTAAGAAGAGAAAAAATGTTTCTTTTTAAGGCTAGAGTTAAGTGGGGTCTTTGACCTGGGAGAGCGAGAGGCCCTTATGTGGAGTTGGGGAATCGAATCGGCGCCTTCTGACTTGGCTCTGTGCCAGGTTGTGTGGGAGCAGGAGGAGCCTGGGACATAGGGAGCTGTAACTGCAGTTTCAGGCAGTGCTGCCCAACAGCTGAGCAGCCATGCAGGGTCCATGCAGCTGGCTTCCTGGGAGCTCTGTGTCCCGAGGCTGTGTCCAGGTGAGGAACCTGGAGCTCTGTGTCCCGCGGCTGTGTCCAGGTGGAGAACCTGGAGATCCTGGTGGAGTTCACACCATGTTGACGCAGACTCCGTGGTAGAGAAGTTAATTTCTGCAGAGGAAGACAGCCTTAGCGTCTTAGCTGTGGAATCAGATGGAAAGACTTGGCCAGGTGGACACGAGGACACCATCCCCTAGTCAGCCCTCCAGCTCCGGACAGGCAGTTCCACCCCTTTTCTTTCTTGAACATCTTTCAGTCCTGCCACCGTGCCAGACTTATTTCTATGTTAATACGTAGAACTGCTCTTTCAGTGTGTATGTGGGGCGTTGCTTTTTTTTTAAAGGTTTATTTATTATGTATACAACATTCCTTCCATGTATGTCTGCAGGCCAGAAGAGGACACCAGATCTCATTTTAGATGGCTGTGAGCCACCATGTGGTTGCTGGGAATTGAACTCAGGTCCTCTGGAAGAACAGTTAGTGCTCTTAACCTCTGAGCCATCTCTCCAGCCCCGTGAATGTGCTTTTTTTTTTTTTTTTTTTTTTTAAACCAACCCTTTTCAGGGTAGAGAGGAAGAATTTCTACTATCCCTAGGAACATAGTGCTGCTTTTCAGGAGGCGGGCCTTCCTGTGCCAGGAGGCGGGACTTCCTATGCCAGCAGGTGTGGCTATAGATGCTGGCAGAGACTGTGGAAGGTTCTCACTTGTCCTTTTTTTTTTTTTTTTTTTTTTTTTTTTTTTTTTTTTTTTTTTTTTTTTTTTTTTTTTTTTTTTTTTTTTTTTTTTTTTTTAAATATTTATTTATTTATTATGTATACAATAATCTGTCTGTATGCCTGAAGGCCAGGAGAGGGCGCCAGACCTCTTTACAGATGGTTGTGAGCCACCATGTGGTTGCTGGGAATTGAA